GACTTTTCCCTCTTACTTCACGCTAAACTAACCTTATTATCATTAACCATATTTCACCACCTAAAACAAGACACTCAACAGAGGTACTAATGGTCAAAAGCCGCTGATATTTTCATATCATTTAATTACGTAGGCGATATTTCACAGCTGTAAAGTAGGAGGCAGCGAAGTGTTGAACACTTAAAAATTTTATCGGCTGGATATCCGGATATCACTCTGGGACTAATGTGATACAAATTGGCTAAGGCTAAATAAGCCTTTTTTGCTCTGAGGTTTCGTCAGTAACCACCACACTAGAGGTGTATGTAACTCACCAAATAAGTGAAATTATCAACACATTCAACCATTTTACTTCATATCCTTGAGAAAAAGAGCCAGTTCATACCAGTCCCGCAGCACCTCACTACACTTGAAGTGGGATAAACCACATTTTTATTCGAAAATATGATGACATTTCATATGAAACATATTTCTCCCTCAAAAAATCAACCTGCTTATTTTAAAATCATTTTATTTAACTGTACCTATCACTAATATTTAAGAGTACTTATTTGCCTAAGTAAAAATGTAGCCGAAAGAAAACAAAAAATTTGAAAAAAAGGAATAATTTAAAAAGTGACTTATTTTCATCTCTTTAGGATAAAAACATATTCATGTATTTTTTATATTTTAATTTATCGAATTTAGTATTGTTGAGAGCATTGATGAAAGGTTCAAGGTCAAACTTCTGAAACGGAAAAAAATATGTCTATCGACCACGAAAGACTCACATTCACATACAGAATAAAAAACATAGGTGGAATAGAGAGGAAAGATAAGTATATGCTGACAACTAATTTATTAATATTGATGTAACAAAGGAAAAGTTACCAACTTAACACTATTTATTATTCAACTGTTTACTCGTCTATAAGGTTCCCTGATTATTTCATAATTTGCTTGTTTACGAGTTTTAGAAAAGAAAAAGAAGGTATTAGTGAATTTTCATGTTGTTGTCATTATTGTAAATCTAGCTGCATAAAGTATGTGCTGTCGGCTACGCTTTAGGAAAATGATTAAAAAGATTATAAGTTTCCAGACCGTAGATGTAACGAATTTCCTGGAATAATATTGGTGCAAATATTTATCGACAAGTGACCTTCAAATAAACTGACTTCAATTTATGTAATTTTTGATTTTATATTTTGATGATTAATAAAAATCCGAATAATTCTGCTGAAGAAGCGAAACGTTCAGAAAAATCTTGTTTAATTTTTTCTTAAAAACTCTGGGATTATTTTAAGTAATTTATAATGAAATAAGTAAAAAGCTTGTTCCTTAGTATTCAAATACCGCTCAACTGATACCAATCTGCCTTCAAATCATCCATATTTCCATCAATTATTACAGAACATTAGGTTAGTGGAACTTTCATTCCAAAATGCTTAAAAAAGCTGAGTATCACATAAATTCAGTCAAATTTTCGTGTGGTTTTTAATGAGTTGTAAAAACAACTCAGATACATGTAAAACTAGTCCTTGTTAAAATATCTTGAAACAGTTGTAAAAGAATTATTATTGAGTGATTATTATAACTTAAATTTCACACCGTAACCCATAATGCAAGAATACTGGAACTAGTAAGTCTAAATATATCACGATTCATGTTATTACTTTCACTAGTTTGATGGTTTAAGTTTGAACCTGATAGACAGAATTTTATACAGAATTGTATCTACTCTAAGAGTGATACTGTAAACATGAGTGTTATTAAGAAAGAAACAACTGATTAAAAAGTGATGAGATGTTTTAAACATGAAAGGATTAAAATAGACATGTGTTATTGCAATCACTTCCAATCACATGAAGTAGCTTTTCAAACTATTGGTTTATATTTCTGTGAACTCAATTATGTAACCTTCGGTAAATAGCCCCAATCAACACTAACTTAGTTGATAAGTTGATATCTGAAGGCAGTTTTCACTTAACTTTTCTAATATGCAACTATATTGCAGCTATCACCACAGTTATAAGTTAGCACATGTAACACACCACTCAGTGATTCACTCCCTGCGTTAAAGGACAACACCTAGCCGTAAAATAATCGAAACTAAAGCGTTGCATAAAATATACTTATCAGACTTTCGTAACTTTCATATCTAACAGAACGGTATTTTTGAACGAAATACTCCCGCCTTTCACAGGGAGTTGGATATTACACCACTGCTAAGACATACTCTATCAAGTGAAGAAAATATAAGAATTTGATCATTAGCCAACCTATAATGTATACAAATTAGGTGGCTGGAAGCAATCGGTAGAAAACCTTAGATCTAGGTTTCGTATTAGTTGGCACTTGTCAGCAAGGCGTATCTGCAATCTTGCAGGAACTCATGTTCCTTCTGAGATTTGAACTGGCGTCACTCATTGCTGCATTCAGAGACGTTAGCATAGAAGTCAAAATAAACCTCACCAAATGTTATTTACAAAAAGATTCGTAGCTCAGGATGAGTAGGGAAATCTTTTGATTTTCTTTCAACACTGGTGTTCGTCGTCAAGGTTTCATCACTGAGAAGTTAACGATGAAGAGGTCACCAAGCCTGAAGATGAAACATCTATGGATGAATACCAGACCTAGGAAAACGTCAAACAATTTTCCCGATATCATTATTATGAATAGAAAGCAATAAAACGACAGAAGTGTCAAATAATTTAACCAATATGCCAAATACAACAAAGTTGAAAAATGGGATAGCAAGTCTAAGGTCATTATGATAGCAATATTCATTAGTGATTCCGAGCTAAACCACGTATTTGAGCAAACTGACTGAACGACTGATGGATTTGTCAAAAAAACTTTACAAAAGATGGCAGCTACCTCACTACACAAAGCCCCACAAAATTGAGTAAAAACGTATAACTAATTTACAGTACAGAAAGATGTGTGACGGAAAGAATAATTTGACGAGGATTAACGAAAATCCTCAGAATATGAGAGATGACAAAGAGTAAATACATTCGCAGCATTTTGAAGGATTCTGCACCTTCTCAGCAATGGTCTCCAACCAGTGGTCCTTACTATACTGAGGATCTCATTCAAGCAGATTAAAAATTCCCACGATAGTCAAACCAACGACCAAAGACTTCATAGTTTGTTCCAAAGTCTTTGTCTGACAACTAACCCTTCCAGCCTATTCCTTTATTAGTTCTATAATCATTTAGATAGCTTTTGGATGGTACAAAAGGTATTATACAGTTTGGACAGGATTATAACTTTAAGAGTGGTAAAAGAAAACAAGAGATGATTGGTCAAACGGGAAGACAAATTTATATCATAAAGCTATATTTCATGCATCATTTAAATTTGGATTTAAGGAAAGGAGTTGGAGGTTATTCTGATTGACTAAAGAAAATACAGTGTAATATATGTGAAATGAACATAGGCAGGAAGTCCACATATGACCACACGAAAATAAAAAGAAGCTTTGGATCAAGATGCATCCAAGCTTACAACACACAATCGTGGTTTCATTCATTTCGGAGACCAAAAAGCATCAATAGTGTATAGAACTTGAGCACTGTTGTTTTCTAAATGGTATATCACAATGGGACAGTATTATTTACTGGACGACGTTTTGAAAACAATAAAACAAAACAAAGAAAATAATCATACTAAATAATACGATTTTTCACAATAAATTGAGTTTGAAACATCATCCACTAAATATTACTGTTTCAGAGTGTGATACATCCATTAAACAAACTGATATCCAGTGTTATTTTTATTAACCGTGGCTATCAACTAATCCCCAATAAATCTTAATGCTAATTCGAATCAACTTTTAAAAGTAAATTTTTTTGAGAAAGTATTAAAGATACTACATAGGAGACCCAAATACAGATAAATCTGTAGAATTCTAATACGATAACCAAGAGAAAATGTGGGAAGAAGTATAAAAATCGAGGAAACGTCGGCATGCATAACACGGAATAACACAATTCGTAATTCTAGTGTGACGGAATATCATAGCAGTACAACATTAACCACTACCAACTGAGGCTTTCCTATATATATAAACAGGCACTTGTTAAGTCACTCCGCAAATGAGACAGCAAATTTTGGTCATGTCAATTCACATGCAGGAATTCAGATTTGTTGTTAGTATCTAACAACAAGGCTTCATCTGGCTAATTAAAACTAATGATGCTGGATACAATACACACTAATTTACCAACAAGAAAAATAAAGTCATCAGATTACCAAACAAAAGCAACAAATTCATTCTACTAAATTGTTTCAATGGTATTATCCAGAACAAAAACGCCAAACTCCAGTGAAGGATTTTGCTTTAAGTGCCTTCAATCCACCGAAAAATATGGGCTGCACAGGAGTTGGGTTCCGCAAAATGCCACTCATGCTTTTTAACAGTTTGCTAGTTAAGAGGAGGTATTAAACTACACACGTTACAATTTTCCCAGAAGTATAATTTATATCGGTCTTCACTAGTCTTTTGATAAAGGATTATATATATATATATAAACTTTGTCAAAGGAACCATATTCGCCTATGGAATACTAGAAGAATATTGTAAAAGACAAACGCTTGCATTTCTAATAAGATTCAATTGATGAAAGGCCTCCCAGGGTCAATACAGTTAATAAATTTTGGCGGTACATTACAATGAGGAAATTGCGGGTCCGAATGGAAAAGTATATACTCCAAATGACTCATGACACCATTTGAAATCTCTTTAACTACGACTGATGGCAGCTTGAACAAATTCATTTTATTATATGGTATGCAGATTATGTGTGCAAATGCTACTATAAATGCAAAACCTCAGTATTCTAAGCTACGTGGTTTATTAAGTATCATCTACAAAACATTTTTGATGTAAATTTAACCTATATATACACAATAATTTTTTTAAACCCCATCTTATTTTATTACAAAAATATTTTAGAAACTATTAGGTACAAATACGAATTAAACGTCAAATGAAGCACAGAAACTTGACTCACGAAAAAGCCATACGTAACGCGACCATGTAATCATATGACGCGGTGCTTATCCATTAGAAAAGGCTGTAACTAAATACAATATTCAATAACATTATGAAAAATATCTTTACGAATTACTTTCGTTCACATTCACTTTGTTCATGTGTACATTTTCGACAATGACAAGGCTTACATGTCTGTTACTTTACCATATTCATGTCCTGGTTTCCGTGTCATGTATGGAGGGAATATTTTCTCAGACTTCATATTCATGAATTGTTTTCTCAGGAAGTATTTTGAATCAGCTAATCAGAATCACCTCTCTCCGTGAATGTTTTGACGTAATTATCAAACGCTCGCCTTAAAATGCCATCTGAGAACAGCTTTTGTTCAGTTAGTTTTACGTTTAGGACGCCGAACAATGAAGACATGTCCTTCTGCGATAACTCAATGTTAAACTCTAAAGCGATGAGACTTCTATCTATAGACGTACTTTTGTATCTCTGTATCTTTGAAAGCCACTCCGATATCCACAGTGTAGAACCACGCTGCAAATACAAATTGTCATACCGTACATGAACCTGTGGTGGTTAGATACATACAATGAATTCCAACGGAATAGGATTCTCACATATTCCCACAGTTCAAAACGGCAATAGCAACAGAATGCTATGTGTCTGAACATTCTATTTCATATCGTCTAATGTGAGCCAAATCACAAGCTCAGTGATTGGTTAGACAAAATAAAACTGCACATATACATAGCGGTTTGATCACTTGAAAATATACCTTGGCTTCCATATGTTGCCTTTTATTGTTACCAACCTAATATGTCCCAATCAGGGGCAATACGTGATGTAAACGTTACATATGCATCAGAGTCTGGTTCCATTGCAGAAAACAGTGCCGCCAACTGTCAAGTTTTCGTTGTTCAATCCACTGTTTGTTCTAATTTTGTATTAGGAATTCACATCATAATTCCTAACTGTTGTTGGTGATGTACACATATTTCAGGCTTTAGAAACGGCTCATTTCTTTACAAACTACAACGGTTATTATATCTAAGAAAAAGGAAACTCAAACTAGACACCATGTTTTTAAACTTAGAGTGTGGAGTGTTATGAGAATTCATAATTACATAATGTATGTTGGTAGTATATGTAAAATAAGCTTGAAACTAACCGAACGATTTCGTGACGAAAGTAACTCATGTTTTTTATGGACCACCCTTAGGTGCAAAGAAGATATCTTATATTAGCAAGCTGTTCGACCAATGTTAATGGAAGAGATAGAATTTCTCTCCCAATGCCGCGATGTAAAGCTGTACCTGTGAGAAGGAAGAAGATAGCGACTAATGACTAGTAATTCATAACAAACAAATTTCTGGTGGTTCTTAGTGGAAAAAATGCTCATAAAAACCAATCAGTTCGTTTTATGCCAAAACTTCAGTTGAAAAATAACAGACGTTAAGCATGTGAATTTATAAACAGATGATGGCATGTGCAATTTTGTGGAGAAAATTCATGTGAACAGGCTACGGCATAAAATGTAAAATTGCGGGTGAGTGTGTGGAAGGGTGATTATATGACATACTCCATTTCTGAAGTGGCACCAACTGCTTTGTCTCGCGAGTATTTGTGTGGTTCATCTGGTTCCAGTCATGTATATTTTGCTTTTTGGTTTGGGCAGATGCAGCAGACGTTATTTTGACAGTTTCGCAAGCATTTATGCGCGACCATTTGGAAACAAAGTCAGGAAGTTTGAAAATGAACCCACAAGGCCATAGCAACAAATTTTCATTCCACTGTTTGTGATAAAGCTCATTATGCACATGCGTCCATATGCATGAATATTTCCGTTCATTTTTCGGATGCTACCTTTAGTCCATGGCCTATGGGATATTATTTTGGCGTTTAGCCACCTTCTTGGCATTAACGCCCACTATTGTTATTCTTTTTTTACTTTGTGCCTACCCCCACTGTCTTACATTTACACTGGTATAATAATAGTACAAATGCCCTATTTCGAACAAGATAAACTGAACAAGATGGAATTTTCGGCATTTTATACATATTGCAACAATTTACATCCTTTCGCAAGTGTGTGGACGCATAAAATTGTGAAAATGATAGAACCACGGTAACTAAATTTTAGTGGGTGATAGCAAATAATAAGTAAATAATGCATGTGATAATAATCCTTGTTATACTTTGAAATCAGTTACTGATTTAGGAAGTTGTAAAGTCCCTTCCTGACATTCGTGTCTCCGCACAAAATGCGCGCTAAATATGTTATGGCTGGATTTTAATATTTCACTGAAAGAGCACAAAATTTGACGAAATTTCTTCTTGTTATCCCGAAAGAGATACAAGGAAAAGCTGCGAATAGAGGGGACTTTGGATATTTGACAAGGTAACTTTAGATAACTGCTTGCAAAGATTAAAATGTATATCGACAACTGTGTCAGGTAGTTGGGCCTAAGGTACACCACTAATCCTACTTATAGTCTTAAGTTTTTCGTGTAATTTAGCATAGTTTTTCTTGAGAAAACTAGGGAAGAATAAGAGACAATGCACACGAATGGTCAGAATATAAAATGGTGGTAAATTGCAAGAGAGCAGGTTGAGTTATGACAGAAAGTTTCAACTTCCTTATGCAATTAGTCTAATGAAAACTTTCTTAGGAATATACAAGATACAAGACGACCAGCAGAGATTCGAAAAGAAACTGGTGCCAAAATACGGGACATTTGATTTAATCCCTGTCATAATGGCATCAGTATCATAAGAATCATGGGGCTGAATAAGTCCAGTCTCATTCTCATCTAAATCCAAACTTGGCAGTATTATATTAAGATGGATTGAGTTCAGTAGCATCTGTATAAGTCTAATGCCTTACCTCGGATAAAAATTTGTTCATATCAGAATATTCCGATGTAATAGCTACTGGGATGAGTTCTTAGGTCATCAGCCTATTTAACGGAATTAGGTTTGGAAGGATATGAGGCATGTTAATACTTCCATCTCACTAAAACGTGGATAATGGTCACTTACTTGAATAGAAACTTCATTTAGAATCACACTGATTTGCCAAAATAGGAAAGATTGATTTGAGGCATTTACAACAAAATAAGCATCAACAGAAACTCGCTTTTGCTTGCAAGTTGATTAAGACGCAAAAATACGAATGGCCCAATGCCCAGAATTCAGTGACTGAGCTCTACTTTGGGTGTCGAATATATTACGATCATTTAAAAACTATATGTTGGTTTTCGCCTGAACTAGTGTTAAATTTGACAAGACTCTTATGATTAGGTTGTGTGAGGAAGCTGTGATCGCACCAGTTATAATCTGCACAGAAAACAGAGAAGGAATTTCCAAAGATTGGAGCAGCAATTGCAGTAAATTCAACTGCAAAGGTAAATAAATTTGAGAAAATTCAGTCTGTTTTTATAATAATTATAATATATTCCAATTTTGTACATGAGGGACGCCAGTTTACAGGCATCATAAATATGATAAATTACATACATGTTATGCAAATTTAGGAATATTGACCTAAATGCCTTTGGTCACATCTAACGATGATGCAGCCTATATCGTCATCGGAAAAGTGAAAGCGCACGTGATTAGGCATTGATCACTTAGTGCTGATAAAAGTGGCTACGCCTCCACCACGCTTTTCCCTTAAGCTCTTTCTATCTAGCTGGAAAACTTTATATCCATTAAATAAAATTAAATCAAAGTCACATTGCTGGTGGAGTCCAGTCTCGTGTATTGCTAAAGAATCAGCATTTTGAGGCACACCTGATGATATTAAGGACTGGAGACAATCCACTTAGTTAGGCAGTGACCTGCAGTTTATACTGACCACCCCCTGGAGAAGCATGAATAATTTGCGTAATTTTTAATGCACGCTGACAAATACAGTAATGATTTTTCCTCAACTTTGAGGCTGATTCAGTGTGGTAAGTTGATTTAATGGGCAATACAGACAATCAGGGATGAAGCACACTACATTTTCCATTTTATTCCCTTACTTTCAGAGGAGACCGTTATACCTGAGACCAGCGGTTTAAATTTTCGGTAACAGTGGTTTTATTTCTACGGAGTGGGACCGCTGGCTTCGTGCTAAACCCTACCTCTTCACCGGCCTTACTTCAGGCTTAGTGAAGTTAAGGCGTACGTCAACTGGCAACCGAACCCCTGACCATATATAACGTTGACGAGTGTTCTACCGCTGAACCGACTCATAAAACATCTGGGAGTACTAGACATCTATTTCGTCCGTTTGATGTGGGAATCATTGGCAGTAAACACCAACTCAAGAGTTTCTTGTAAAAAGGTGAGCTGGTGGACCAATCAGCCACACAGATGACATTCGAAACACTTTATCAACAATAGTAATCGCGGTACAATAGTGACATGAAAATTCACATAAGGAACGAAGGTAGGATGCCGCTGATCACTGGCCACTCTTTATCCACGATCTAGGACACTACACCATCCTATCGCTCCACAAAAGCTGTTATATTCTGCCTCTGACTTGAGTTCTTTCTGATGTTGCGTCATCCCTGCAAAAGAAATAAGAATCTGGCCATTGTGACTATTAATAGGAGGATCCTTCCAGCCTGTCAAAATGTACCATTATACTCTCCGTATTGTTATCCACGTCTTCTTGTATTGTATACGTATTTTCCGTTACTTTGCAGTTCAACACACCGTACTTGGGATTTACTTCGGCCTATATTCTCAGTCGCTAGTTTTCACAGCCATTCTCTATCCCGTACCTAAGGGTGCTTCCCACTTCTTATCATACTACTGTTTCTACCTAAGGTTTGTTCTCTCACTTACTTCGTGTGTATAACTGTGGTATCCGGCCATGTCTTCTCGCAGCCCTACTGCCATTTCCAATACGGTCAGTCGGTCATCCCATTTGGCGTGTCTAACGTATCACTAGAAAGGCGTAACTCATGACAGTTCAAAACAGGTGCGGTGTCTCGTGTGTTGACATTTTTGTGTCTTCGATTTATTCGTATTTTCTGAGCTGGTTGATTTAATGCAG